CCACAAGTCCCATTGGCTTGTTTAAGAAAAAAAAAAAACAAACAGCTTTTGGCGAAGGAACATTCTGGTAAAGGAACAGATGAGTTGCAGAGGTGACCTGGTGGCTCTCCACAGATGCCACCAGAGCTGAGCATATTGAACTAATGCTCAATAGAGAACAGAATTATTGAACAGTATTGAACAGAACTAATGTTCTATCACTGCACAAGGGACCCACATGGTGTTGGTGTTGTAGTCATCAGTGGTGTCAGTGAAACAGAGACTGGGACAGAGCATCTGACTGTGGCCTCCCTCTGTGCAAGGGCACCGCGCTGAGCCCATGGACCAGGGGGCACGAGAGCCAGAGGCCACCTCTCCATTGCATAACCACCAGGCAAGGAGAGAAAAGGAAGAAGGAGAACCCATCCATCTTTTAATAACAAGTATTGTAGCTACTCTGAGGCCTGGCAGGTGACAAAGTCATCCTAGTAGTGATAAGACACTGCCAGCTGATGTTTGCCATGCTGTGACAGTGTTTCCAAACCTAAAATTTTCATCACACAACACCACCCTCAGCCATGGGGCGTACCAGGAGAAGAAGTTCAGATTAAGAACTTCACAGTCTGCACATAAAAAAGCAGAGCTATCACTGGGCTGGTAAGGCTAAGGATTAATTCCTATTTTTATTCTCTTTCACTTGTGTCCTGCATTTGAACAAGAGCTGAATGCTTGGTAAGATGAAGGGTTCAGCATACAGCATACATTTCTGAGCTGAGTTATTACCTCTGGTGCCTGGAGCACAAGTTCCCCCTGGGATGTTTGACAGGATATAATGTCTGACTTGATGATGGAAACAAAAGAAGTCCTCTCCATGGCAGATTTAGTCTCTTGAATTTACTGATAATGCACTCTGCTCCAATAAATCAAAATTCCACTTCACCCACTCAGATGTCGGTTCCATGCACTGCTGGCATACATGGAAATGCAAACCTCCCATGAAAGTAAAAGAAAATCTAAGTAGTGTTCTGACAAAGAGAGACTTCAGAATAGGGGGAAAAACCTTGGTTTACATTTAAAATTAACTCTCTGAAACACAGTAGCAGGAAGAGGTGCTGGTGCAGGGACATGCAGCTCACCTGGGTAGTTCCGCACTGAGGCTTCAGTATGGGGTCAGTTTTCCCTTTGGTAAACCCTCCTTGCCTTTCCCCTTGCAGCCCAGAAAACTCACCAGAGAGAACTCACATTCAGTGCAAGGTCACCCCAGAGAGATCTCCCCCTCCCCTGCCTCAAGCAATATGTATTAAAATGTCATTCTGGCCTTCAGAAAAAGCAATTTTCTCTGTCTTAGTGCAGGGCAGGTCTGATCCACCATTCTGGATGGAGACATCATTGTCAGAGCCAGTCCTCCCTGCTATGGAGAGAGGAAAAGGCACCTGCAGGATAGGATTCACCCACAGCTTATTTATTTTAGGGTTTTTAATTACTGTGGATGAATTGCCCCTAAAAGCACTTGTTTGTCTCCCTTGACTGCAGTGGGGGCCTGGGGTGATGCTCTGAGCCATGGGGCACCTGCATGGCAGCAGATATCTGAGCAGCTGAATCCTGACTTTGCAGTTAGTGAGAGAAAGTGTTTCCTGGGGTGGGGGAAATCCTACATCCAGATGAGCAAGGATTTGCCAGTCAGCTGATATGAAGTGGAGCTGAACTTTCTTTTTGCATCTTTTCCAGTTTATGCTGGAGAGCATGGGAAGAAGCAGGAGAGAAAGGAAGGGGGTGCTGTGCTTAAGGCATGAGAACTCATTTGGGATAAGAATTTCTGGAAATGTGCAGAAGTCCTGACCATTTCAGACAGAGAAACCCTCTGTCTTGAACCCTCACAGCCTGCAGTTCCCAAGGCAGCTGAACACGGTGTGTGCCCAGCAGTGAAACCACTGACACTGGCTCCTGCTCTAGCCCATTCCCACTCAGAGTGGAACCCAGCCCCTCTGTGTTCCCAGCTACATAAAACACAGATATCTGACCTAAGGTAGGCATCGTGGCTCCCTGCAGAAAGCTCTTAACTTCCCCCTAGGCCAGGGCAGGGGTTACCAGCTCATCTGTTTTAGAGCTCTTGGAATGGGATGAGCATGGTGCTCTCTGTGACTGCCTGCACCTCTCCTGGCTGATTATTCCGTTTGCTAAGGAGGATAAATGCCTCTAAATGAAACTCAGCAAAATACTGAGAGCACTTTGAATGCCCCCTGTAGAAAGCAGATTGAGGGCAAATTTAGCCCATCCACGCACAAGATGGCAATCCTTGCTCGATGGGGAAACCCTCTGCTCTTTCCTCTTATCCCAGACCTTGCAGGGAGTCTGGCTGGTGATGGAGGTTTCCCAGCTCTCAGTGAGGGGAGTAGGGAGCTGGAAGCCAAACAAACAGAACAGACTGAAGAAAACCAGGCTGTGTTAATTGATCCTCAGGTCTCAGCTCTCCTTAAATCAGCAGTCTGTACAGCCAACCACAGCCTGCTTGCATGTTCCTATATATCAAACAAGAATGAAATGTTGACAGAAGAACTGAATTTCATGCACTAATTCAAGAAGCAGCCTGGTTGAAGAGATGTCAAATATCAAATTTAATTCCTCCAGCTCCCCCATTTCAGTGGCAAACTGGGGCACAGTCAGCTTCCCCTAACACAGGGCAGGGTGTGCAGGATGATGTGCAGGCTCAGGGTGCTGGCCAGGCACAGCCAAAATGCAAAATCCCTGTCCCCTCCACGCACTCGCTTTGTGTGGGGAAGGAGCTGCTGTGCGTGACAGATGAGAGCTGCAAAGCAGGCAGGTCAGCACTGTGGTGAGGGTCAGGGCTATTTCAATGGCTGGAGATGCTCTAATTATAGTGTTGGGAGGGCTGGAAGCTGCCAGGTTCGATATGGGAATAATGCGACAGGGAGATTGCAGAGTAAAGACACTTGTTTTGTTCTTGGTCGCTTAACTCAGAGACAAAGCCTTTGAGGAAGGAAAAACAAATTTAAGGTTATAATTCAGTCCCAGGAACACTGAACATAGATGTATAATTAGACAGGGAAAAAAAAAAAATCAAGGCAGCCTTGTGTTTATTGCACTGGCTCCATCTCCTGTGCTTTTGGCACTGTGTGTTTCCAGCTGAGCTCTAGCCAGTTGACTGGGTTGTTAAATATCCTTCAGCAGGATAAACAGCTGAGGAAGCCCTGCTGCTCACTCACACAGAGCCTTTGGTGGGTGCTCAGGCAAGTACATGGCTTTATATCTTCTGCACTACTCCTCTTTGCTGCCTGCTGCACACTCTGCTCTGCCTCACCGCAAAACTTTCGCAGGGCTGCTCTTCAGTGTTACAGGATTTATAGCAGCATTTCCCACAGGTTTTATGATCTGATTATTCCTAGGATGCTTTCCCTGAATAGTTGCAAGCTGCACAGCCTGCAGAAGCCTTTGCTTGAAGTGTCTCAGAGCAGTCACCTGCCCCTGGTAGCAGGGGAGTTTTAGGAGGGGGGATGAGCAGTGAGCTGAGCCCAGCACTCAGCTCTGCTCTTGCATTTATGAGAGGTGAGTCACTTTGCAACCTGGTGCCTCTGTTTCCCATGCAGACAGATGGAAAAGTCAGCACAGAAGCACAGCATATTCTTGGGCACTTTGACCAATACAGCAATCAGAAATGGGAAATGGATTCCTCGATATCACTCACAGTCCATCTCCTGGGACTGCCTGTGCCTTGCTGTTCCAGGTCTTCTGTCTCAGAGATCCTCATGCCTCCCTGACACGCCTCCACCTCTCCTGTGCTTCAGCAACCTCTCCTCCAACTATCTTTTTTCACAAGCTCCAGTGGAGCATATTAGCTCCATTTTCTTTCTCCCCTTCTCCTGGGATTCCTCCTGTTAATTACTTCAGCTCCTGCAGCTCCCCATTCCCATTCCCGTGCCACCACAGCAGCCAAGGCACTGCCTGCTCCCCCATGGGTAGCTCAGTCAGTGATTTCCTCCAGCTATTCCTGCTTAGGAGAGAGGTTGTTTATTTCCCTTTTTTTTTTTTTTTTTTCTGTAGTAATGCAAACACATCATGTATGGTGGTGATTTTTTTTTAAATTTAAAAAGTAGGAAAGGGCTGGCAGACATATCTGGTATAACGCCAGAGCACTACAGAAGCATAAAGGACAAGTTTTTATCTGTTTACTCTGATACTATTCCTCAGGCAGGGATCAATCACTTAAAATCAGAGACACTGTAAATAATTTATGATAAATACAGCTAAAATCAAGTACACCGATAGCCTTTTATTTTATCCAAGACAGAGTTTAGTAAAATCCAAGTCAAATTTGTCCCAGATGTAACTCCAGTAACAGCAGTAAACATTGCACAGAGAGGAACTCAGTTCATTTGCTTTACCTTACCTTATTTATGGAAACTGAAATGCTGCTAATGCAAGCAAAAGTGAAAGGGAGGGTAAAAGCTCACAGCAATCCCCTCTCCATGGTCACCATGGCTATTTGTGCTTTATTTCACTCTATTTACAAATTATTAAGCATATTGACCACAGATCTGTGTTTTGAAGTCAAGAATGCAAAGAATCCATTTTTATTACTTTATTAGCCTTTTTTATTTAACTTGGTAATAAAACTACTCAGCTGTGTGGTGAAATCTCAATTAAAATTTGCCTCTCCAGGAGCCACAGAGTCAAATGCTCCAGCAGTTATCAAAGTTGTTTTCTCTGTAAAAGCTGTGCTCAGTTATCAGATTCTGTTATTCAGTACACAGATCCCTGCTTCCCAGCAAGCATCATTTCAGGAGGTGCTCTGAAAGCTTCAGGGCTCTCCCAATGATTGCTTCTCTTTTCTTTCACAGCAATTACAGTCTCTTCATTTAATTTCAATGGAAACTTTAGTGTTTTAGACCTTGCCCATGTAGCTGAATGCTCATCTCTGGATCTTATTTCCAGTCCTCAGGAGGACCGGTTTTGATGACCTAGTCTGATTACAGCATCTTTGACAGCTTTAAAGGAATTTGCCCTGGGGAAGAAGACAGCTGCTGCCCTGATGAGGGATTTTTCTGAGCAGGCCTCCCAAGCCAGACATGTCAGTGTGAGATGCTGCCTACATTTTTCATCGTGACCAACAGGTACGTCTAAAAAGGGTTGTGTGTTCTAGGCTGCACAGGCCAGTGTGGAGAGAGCCTCTGTCGTTAAACTGCTTAACCTGTTCCTGTCAAAACACTGCAGCTTCTTGGCTTCTTTTCCTTTGTGTTCTATATTCAGCCTCCCTGAAAAGTGTGGGCCAGATCTTTGTGCTGGTGTAAAGCGGCATTGCTCCTTCAGTTTATACAGACTGCAGGGTAGGAACAGTCTCTTTGCCAGCGTCTGCAGCTCTTGTACAGCTCTGGTCTTAAACAAGGCTGATGAATTTGAGCACATTATTTATGGACAATAGTAACTCTTATTAGGAGCTGCTATAAAATAACTCACCAGACTTTTTAGAATTTTTCAGTATAAGAGCAATGTGTTAATCGCTTTCCCTAGAGCACATTTTTTCCATGAATGTTGAAAAGAAGCTTATCAACATTTCAAATCCCAAACAACCCATTTTACCTCCAGAAAGGAGGTTTGATCTGCTTAACATGGTGTGTATCAGGAAAGCTCCATGTTCCCTTCCTAATGATGTACCAAAACCTGGGGATTAAACTCTGTTTTGCTCAGATAAAGTACCTGGAATGAATGGATCATGATTCAGATGAGTATGTTTTGCAATAAAAGATTTTGATAAGTGTCTGAATTTACAAAGTTCTATATGTCCATCCTTGAGCAGCTACTTTACTTTTTGGGGAACAAATAAAGATTTCAGATAGAAGGCCAGAACTACCACTGCATGAGCTGGGGTAGTGCCAAGATTTAGAAGAAATCATCCCCAAGACATTTTCAGCCTTGGTTTTGTAAAAGAGATAAGCAGATAGCTTGGAGTTCTGTGAGATGTTTGCTACATGGAGCACTAACTTCTTCTCTCCAGTGCCAGCCCATTTCCACCACATGCTGCCCCAAAATCAAACTCTGAACTGACAAGTAAAGGTGACAGCTACCAATGCCACCTGCTCGAAATTCTCAGAATTCCCTTTTTCCTCCTCTGTATTTTTTATTTATGTTTCATATTCCCAGGGGAAAAAAAAAAAAAAAAAAAAAAAAAAAAGAGTGTCATTTTGCTGCTTTGCAGTTACTTGATTTGGTAAAGGCAATGGAGCTGAAGGTCTCCTTTCTGAAATGACAATGGAGAGCACAGAAGAGAGCAAACCCACCAGCTTTGTTTAACCTGGCACTTCTTAGTCTAAATCTCTGACTGATTCTGGCTCACACTGGATCCTCCTGAAAGACATGACAGAGTGGTGGCTCCTGGAGCATCCCTTGCTAAGAACCTTTTGATTTGCGCTGTCAAATGTACCATAGAAGTTGTTGACAGTATTTCCCAGTTCTGGCATTATCCACACAGCAAGTAACAAACCTTGCCTAAAGCAGGAGTGTCAGGAAAATATATTTCAGATCTACAGAGGTGTCTCAAAGGCAGGAGAGAACTTCTGAGAAGGAAGAGTGGTGGGTTTTCCATCATCTTCACTTTAGAGTTGCAAAGAGCCTTTTGGCCCAGTATGCTCCAGAAACAATTTAATATTTTCCCAAATTTCCAAGCATAGGAAGAAATGCTAACTATAGGAACACACCAGTCTCAAAACTTCTTCCACAAACACTTGCTGGAGTGGGTATAATGCATGAAAGAGAGAATGCAAGACACTGCACCAGCTCAGTGTACCCAAAAGTTTTGTCTTTGTCAGGGAACAGCCATGCAGTCAGAATCACATAACAGACCAAGAGCTCAGCTTCCACGTTTCTCCCTTCAGACACTATTATCTCAGCACCTCCACACCAGTCCCATGAAGCTTCATTCCTTGCCTTTGCATTTCTCTGCCTTTAAAAGAAAAGGCAAAGTAATTTTTATTGTTTCATTGAGGAGACTGATTGAAAGGCTCTTACATTTGAGATGATGAAAAATATACCGATGAAAATGCTCCACATCAGAAAAAAATGCATTTGTTGAGGCAGAGATCATTCTGACCAGCATATTAATTTAAGCTGAGAGGTTTCCTTGTCCTGGACCAAATTTCTGATAAGAATGAAGGAGAGAATGGGGGAGAAAGAGACACAGATGAGCTGTTAGCAGGTAGCTTATAAGAAGTTGCATCTTAGGGGCATTGCACTCAAAGATTCTGATTCAAACCTGCCAGGGGTCAAAGCCAGACCGTGTTTTCCCACTCTTCTCTCAAAGCACATCCTACTCTCAGCTACCCCACTGTAAGACACAACTTGTCCTGGTATGAGCAGGATGCTACAATCTCTTGCAGGAATGCCAAAGGATGCTCTGCTTTGGGATGAAAGCACAACTTAAATATTCAGCTTGCCTCTGCAAAGCATAACTGGCTTTCAACCTGATTTATCTGTATAGCCTGCTGCCAACAAGCGTACTTTGATGTTCTGCCTGAATTTTCCCTTGCTTATTTTCTTTGCCTCAGCTTAAACTGAGATGAAATTGAATATAAGCTCCAAAAGCTCTCAGCCGGTTTTGAAAATTGTACCAATTACTTTTTGTTAAACCTATTTGTTTTTCTCTGAAATCACCAGTCTCTAGGGCTTGGAGAGGTGGAGGAGAGAGACTTACATACTAATTAGAAAAACAAATATCATCATTAATAGACTTAACATTAATGTAAATCAGCTGCCAATGACTGAGGGATTTGCCACTTTCTTTTTATAATCTTTATCATCCAATATCATCATCCAAATGCTTTCCAATTCATGGGGGTTTTGTACTCATTTGGGCTTTTGTTACACTTCAATCTGCTCTTTTCTCCATTTTTCTGTTCTTTCATGTCATTAATCTAATCTAATCCTCTTCCAAGGTGACACTACAAATGGATCTCAAGTGCATTTACATCAGTGCCCTCAAATCATGTTGTGTAGTTGCCTTGGTGCTTTGTGATTCCCTCGGCTCCTTCCCTTCCCACTGCTGTCAGCCCTGCTTGTTGCCCCTCTCAGGGCCAGTTTGGCATTAATGGCTGCCAGGTTTCTAAAATCCTTTTTAGGGGAGGCACAGTGGCTCACAGAAGTAATTTGGAGTCTTTTGATACCTGGGATTAAGACAAAACCACTAATCCACTTTTGAGGCTGCAACCTGCAGTCATCCTAGCTGGATTTCTCCTCAGGTCAAAACTCATCAAGGAACATGGGCAGGAAGCCCCAATGAACACAACATCAAGCACAGAGTGATTACTGCTAAAATAGAACTCCTGAAGATAATTCTACTTTCCCTACTTCTAACGCGTTTTCTTTGCATGCTTTTTCTCTTTTATGCCAGTTCAGATGTCCTCCTGCTGGCAGTGGGTTTCTCCAAATTCACCTCATGGCTGATGGCAGCCCTGCCATCAACAGCAGCCCAAATGCTGTGGGCAGAAGTTACAGTTCCACTAGTTTTTGTTCCTGAAATACAATGAGTGCGTAACAAAAGCTGCCTCAGAATGACCTCACTGACTCCAGCCCTGTCCATCTCCCACATCCCACATCAACAGGACTGACTGATTTGGAATCAGTGAGCCAACAGCAGATATTAGCATTTGGTTTCTTGGTAACTCTTATTTGATCAATACATATTTTACATTTTGGGCCCCAGTGACAGGATGATCAGAACAAATTAGAAAGCCTCGGGTGGAATAAACCTAATGGCAGTGGGACATTGCTAAAAGAAAAATGCATGTTGAATCACAAATAATAGCTTGGCTGCAATCTCAGGAGTCTAATTATGAAATGGATGTGGAATCATTCTGTAATTATTTAGAAAGTTCATTTCAGCAGCCAGAAATTCTCTCTATGTTTACTATATATCATCACAAGTCCTCTGTGGTTATTTGTAACGTCTACCCGGAAAGACACGTGAATAAGGGAGGCAATTTTAAGAAATGGATACAGATCCATGCCTTTTATAAGTCAATGAACTCATGCCAGGAATAAATTGAGACCAAATTCCTCAACAGAGTTAAATCACTTCCAGTTAGTCCAAATAGAGCAGAGCTTGCTCTGCCCTGCAGCAGGGATGTTCTCACCATAATGCAAAACTCTGCAACACTCTGCTCCGTGCTTCTATCTTTATCTTAGAAAACAGCCCAGTTTAAAACAGGAAAAACCTGCGCACAATGTGGATTTTAAACTGGTGCCACAGCTCCAGGAACATGATCATCACTTTGAAGAATTTGCTACACGGTCCCTCTGTACTCAGCACTGGTAGGGCTGCACCTTGAGTCCTGTTTTCAGTTTTAGGCCACTCACTACAAGTAAGATATTGAGGTGCTGGAGTAGGTCCAGAGAAGGGGAATGGAGCTGAGGAAGGGTCTGGAGCACAAGACTTATGGGAAGCAGCTGAGGAAGCAGCTTCAATTTTGACTGGAGAAAATCAGGCTCAGGGGAAACTGTCTCACTCCCAACAACCACCTGGAAAAAGATTGTAGATGGGGGCGTTGGCCTCTTCTCCCAAGAAATAGAGCAAGAGGAAAAGGCCTCAGATTGTACCTGGGAAGGTTTAGATTGGATATAAGGAAAAATTTCTTCACCAAAAGGGTTGTCAAGCACTGGAACAGATTTCCCAGGAAAGCTGTTGTGTCACGGTCCTTGAATGTATTTTAAAGACATTTAGATGTGGCACTTAGGGACGTGCTTTAGTGGTGGCCTTGGCAGTGCTGGGTTGACACTTGGACTCACTGACCTTAAAGACCTTTTCCAACCAAAGCCATCCTGAGATGCTACATCTGCAAATAGTGCCATGACTGCCTTCAGAAGTGAGTTCTGCTGTGATGGATCAGATGGCCACGTGCAGCAGCACCACCCCAATCCAATTTTTACAAAGGTTAGCAATCCAGGCCCACAGGTGAATGGCCCAGGTCTGCCCACCTGCACCAAAGGGGTGCTTACAGATCTGTGTGACCATGAAAGCCTCTAGCACAGAGCAATAACAAATAAAGGGCAAAGAGGCCCCACTGGGATGGTAACTCATGGGTCCTTCATGGAGCACACAGGGGTTGTTGGTGCTGCACTTTGCACTGATCACAATTGCACTTCCTTGGGCAAAACACACCTGGATACACTCCCTGGCCATCACAGGAACTAACAGATATACAGGAAGGAAAACTGATTGCTTTCATCCTGGCTGGCTACACACACCAAGTGTTATCAGATCATCTTCCCATTCAGTGCTGTTTCCGTTATGCTTTGCTGTTGGTCTTTTTTTTTTTCAACTCCATGAAAAAGCCTCATTTTTGATTGATCACCAGACAAATCATGATCCTTCTGGATGTGGAATGGAAACATGCAGTCCAAAGAGCTGAGTTTTGTCTTGAGGCTGGGATTTACACAGTGCTTTCTTTACTGGAAGGTTGAGGAGAAGAAATGGTGCTGTATGACATCTCATGGGTGTCCCAGAACTCTCAGCAGTAAATCTGTTTCTCCAGAGGCACAAAAAGGAAGAAGGCAACAGTTAATTATACTCTGTGGGGCAATTTGCTGTTTTATTTCCTGATGTACTCCCTGACTAGTGGAAAATCACTCTTGGCAAACACAAAACTTACCCTGCTTCCAAAAGGTGCATCTCTAAATTATTAATCAAGAGTACACAGAACCGCGAAAGGTGGAATACTGAACAAAGGCTCAATTGACACTCTGGAAGTTGAGGAAGATATGGAAGACTCCCCTCTAATTTATTTATTCCTTTTCTGTTCTGTTATCCTGATATGCTGCTTCCAGTTACCACTGCACCCCACAATGTATGGTATTACGTGATTTTGTTTTCAGATTGTTTGAGATAAAGTTACTTCATTATTAATATATATGCACTGTGCATATCCATAAATATTGAATATATATGTGTGTGTGTGTGTGTGTGTGTGTAAAACTACTGGAAGTGTTAATAGTTAAGATAAACGAAGTCCATTATTGCAATGAGTGACTATTTCTATGACCCTATTTGCAATAAAAGCAGATTCAATGATATGAGAAAATTGCTAGGTTTCAGAATAATTGAACCAGGCCAGACGAATCCCCACAAAGGCATCATTTACAAAGTACTTTGCTTGTCTAAAATATTTATTCCCACAGAAGGAAATGGAAAAGAGTTCATATGGTTACACGGCTATCCTCTGAGTGTAAAATTGTTTTATCATGTTATGTTTATTTCCTAGACATCTTCCACTGAGGTATTGCAGAAAAAATACTGGCTGTGCAGTTAATTCCTTTGTGTGGACTGTTCATATTTATTCTCTGGGAAGTCAATCATGTTTTGTTTAGGCATGTTTTGTTTTTCTGCTGAGCAAACACTTAAGCAACCCTTTTCTTGTAAAAACTTATTTGCATATACAATGTGCACCATTCAGTGTCAGTGCTACACAGAGAGTTGAAATGTTTTTGCTTTCTCTCCTATGTAGCATGGGAAGTAGTGGCTGTCTTGATTAAAATGTTGGTGTTGCTCTTTAAGACTGCATTATATTGTTCATGTTTAAGGGCTACATCAGTAGTTATAGATAATTTTAGTTTGTCTTTTATTGAAAGTCTGGATAGATTTTTACTATTAAATGTTCACAGCAAAATGATTCCAAGCAATCTACAGACAAAGAATTACTCCCAGCAATTATCCACTGAATAAATCTGAATAATGAATACATTGAGAAAAGTCACTATCTATTTGTGAACAATTAGCTGAAAGAAATAGAGGTGACACTCACAAGTTAAATAATTCATTTATGAATTATTTGTCCAGCATTGTTTCTGATGTACTTTGCATGAAATGAGATCAAATCTTAGATGAAAAATTACTTTAAAAAGAAGGGCAATATTAAAGGAAATTCTTACAGCTTCTAATGCAGAAATCATTCCACTATAGTAACTATTGTTTATTACCAGTGATTTCAGAGGCTAGAGAAGTTATTTGCCCTGATTCTTTTACTTTAAGCATTGGGCTGTGTTTTATTCCTAACATATATTCAATTTTAGGTTGTTAAACTACAATCAAAAGCACTTAGTAGGAATGGAACTGTCCCTGTCATGAGATTTGAACTCCTGACATCTTTATCCACTGAAACTTGAGTGCCCAGGTAACTACTAATTATTCAAGCATTTACAACCATTACTATCAATATAATTAGCACTTCTGGAGATAAAAGTGAGAATGCCGCTATGAAATTATCATCCCTGGCATTTAGATAGCAATCTTTCATGAAAACATTTATAAGCTGCCCAATTATTTTTCAATCAAATGAACAACAAAAAAAAAAGAATTTTACATTTTAGGGGAATCTAGAACTGAAAAGAAATGGTTTCTGGCATGAAAAAATATAAATGTTGTCTCCATATGTCCATTTCTTGGATACAACAAGTCCCATCAACTTCTGCACTGGTGGGTTTTTGATTTTTTTTTTTTTTAATTACCAAAATATCTTTGACCAAATACTTAGAAAACTGTAAAATCTTCCTTTGAACAAAGCCAGGTTCAGTGAAAAAGACATGAACAAGGTTTTTCCTTTGGATCTAAGAGCTGACAAATGCATTGCCCCACTCTGCAGGAATAAGAGGCTGCACAAGACCTTCTTACGTGCCTTGCTGGGTGACACTAATAAAAATAAACGAGACAATTCCCATGGAAAACTCAAAACTAGATGAGGACTAGAGTTTGAGTTCCCTAATCCCACCTTCATCAGTTTTTTCTGGCCAAAGCAGGCAGATAAGTTTCTTTTACATGAATTGTAGTAAGTGATTATCACAACAGGAGGAAGGAGGGGCCAGAGAAGCCAGGCACCATGGTTTCACAGGTTTTGACACCTTTCTCTCTAGGATCTACTATGAATAAAATCTTAAAGACTGTCTTTTCCCCACCAAAAGCCATCCTAGGTTTCCTGAAATAACCTCTGGGGAACACTTGCAGGACACAGCAGAGAGGAGATTTTGGAAGCATTTCACAAGGCCTGCTGCTGTGAGCTGGTTTCAGCATGAGGAAAAGCCCTCTATCACCCCAATGCACAGGAAAGAGAAGGTAAGGTAATTTTCTTCGGGGGGCATTTAGATACAGTGTATTCAGTGGAGAGCCCTAGACCAGCCAAATCTATTCCCGTCCACTTGGATGCTATGTCACTGAGGGCAGGCTTGAGGACAGTACACCCATGCAGAGGCTGAGCTGCAAGAGGCAGCAAGTCCTGAGGGGTCTGCTGGCCCCACATCAGCCACAGAAGCCTCCTCTGCTGCTCTGGCCCAGTTTTCTCTGGGGGAGGATCCCAAACCTTTCCATCTACTCACCCATTCCCCATATCCCTGAAAGGAAGGGAGTAAGTAGTGAAGCCCACCGAGCAGCTGTGCCCTCTGGTTCCCAGAGCCTGTATGAGCATCTTGCCACCCTCTCTGCACTGCAGAGCGAGGGCCAGCCTGAACATGACATGGAAATATCCATCCAACCACCTGCTATAAAACCAAACCATGTACATTACACATGGCACTGTGTAGCTATGATATTATAGAAAATCCTTTGCTGGGATTTTTCCTCTCCTGAGAAGCTGAGGAGCCTCAGGAGAGAAATGTAAACAGTTTCTATCTGCTGCTGTGGAATGCAACAGGTGCATCCATGATTGGTCCATGTGGATTGTTTTCTATTGATGACCAATCACAGCCACTTGTGCCAAGGCTGTGAGCAGTCACAGGATTTTTGTTATTCTATTCTGTTCTGTTCGTTCTTGTTGAGCCTTCTGATCTCTCTGTTCTTTTAGTATAGTCTTAATGTAGCATTTTAATATAATATTTAACATAATAAATCAGCCTTCTGAAATAGAGTCAAGCCTCGTGTCTCCACACACGGAGAGGAATCATCAACAGCACTGCAAATAAAAAAAAAAAAAAAAAACACAAGGTTGTGCTTGCAGGGACAACAAACCAGTATATTTCAGCAATCATGGCAGGTATTTCTAACTAAAAATTGTATATTTGATGACGGCCAGCCTTCAGCATTTGACAAGGGACTGTTAAAGCCTCTTGAACAGTAAATCACCTCTCTTTCTATCAATAATCTTATTATAATATGAGTAGAAATGTCAAATGTTTAAATCCCACTTTATTACTATAATAATGGATTTAATTTGTAAAACATATAAAGTGAGGCCATAACTGTTCTGGAGGGAGATATCTGTCATCCCACTATATTTCTGTAATTTGCTGGTGACTTTACCCACATATTTTGAACGGAAGAAGGATTAAAAGCAATCCCACTTGCAAGATTTTTGTGATTGGGAATGGATTCTGGAAAGGAAACCAACATGATCGCAGAAATGCAGCAATTGCTACCCAAAAAAAACCACCCCCAAATTCACATTCAGACAAAGCAAACACGTAGGTGTTTATCTGTGACTTGCTCCATTCAGGCCCTCTCCCGCTGCCAGGACAGCCCTGCTTCCAGCTGCACAGGCAGTATTATCACTGGGTGCTATTTTTGGCTCCTGAGTACATCTCATCCTTCCCACGCCAGCCCTGGTACAAAGGACACAAACTCTTCTCTGCACTCCTTGTCCTCCGCGGCCGCTCCCGCCTGTGCGGTGCCGCTGCCGGCTCCGTCCCCGCTGCTCAGGGGTCTCTGGACGCTTTTCCCTGGTCCTTCTCAGTTTCTGGGCAAGAGGCTTTCCATCCAAAGCTTCATGTGGGAGGCTTCATGTTGGCATCCAGAGTACATGTCCCAGATATGTCCAGCCTCACTTTCTGATCCTAGTGCCAAAGAGCTGCAGGTAAGTAATCTTCCCATGGGTGATGAAGTCCCTGTGTCCAGTGCCTGGAGCTTGTTACAAATGGGTTGCTTTTAGGGTCATACAGTTTTCCAGCTATCACTTTGGTAGGTTTCCAGCTCTTGTCACAGTGTGCTAACACCAGATTTCTGTCTGAGGGGACAGTGTTTTGTTTGTTCTGACAATGCGTAGCTTTGATTTCTGTAAGCTATTAAAGGCTAGTGAATATCATGAAATCACTTCCTTTTTAAGGTCTTCCTTGGCTAGGTGCTATCCAACAAGCAAGCTGTTTCATGTTTTTCTCTTCTGATGTGATGTCACTGCTAAGTGTTTGGAAAAGCTCATATGGACAACAGATGCACTTGGAATTATAAATCTCTTCAAACATTAAGGTTCAGTTTCCTTGGTCGTGCCACAGGAGAAGCCCTTATAGCTACAACCACCCCTAGCCTGAGCTGGGCTGTGTCTCCCTAAACCTATTTCATTTTACACAGAAGAATCAAATATTCATTATGTGAGTAAGTGTGTGTGTGGCTGTTGCAGAGGGATTGGGGTATTCACCTGGTAGATGAGAGACCCTGCTCCCAGTGACCGCTCCAATGAATATTTAAGTATTACATATTAAGTATTAATTGGAGCAAGGATAGGAGCAGACTTCTGCCACCCCCAAGGGAGCAGCCAAACACGAGGCTGTAAAGTCATTCTTTCTTTCTTTCTTTAGCTCAATGAATATTTAATTATTCAAGGCCAAACAAGACAGCTCCAGTGGCAGAGACTGAGATTCCCTGCTCCTGTGTGTGCACCATAACCCTGATGATGAGGGCGTATATACAAGACATAGCTTTGTATTTCTTTGGACTCAGAAATAAGTGAAATCCAGGTTTTCCATAACCTGAATGGGGCTTCCAGCTTCTTAGCTGATGAATGAAAAACAGAGAGCTCCAACACACACTGTCCCCAGTCATGAGACAGAGGTGATATGACCCCAGGATCAGAGAAAGCATCCTTAGCAGTGATGAGATTGGTTTTATGAATCTCTCAGGAGAAGGAATCAAAGCTGACGACATTCCTCACCCCATGGCAGTTCCTGATGGCTATATAATATGTCTTTTGAGGTTATCCAGAATGTGATGTGTAAGAAAACCTATTTATCCCCTTTACTCTGGGGTCTGACATCCCCAGATTGCAGTCAATGGGACCTAATCCTGCTTCTGCAGCCCAAGGAGTGGATGTGTGAAGTGGTGAGCATGGGGAAAGCATCCAACAAGAAGGCAAGGCAATGGCATCTGTGTCTAAAAAAGGACAAAAGTAGATATTTGAGGAGTAGAAAGATTAAAGCAAGGAGCAGAACTGAATTAAGGAGCATGCAATCACTGAGTGGTGGAACAACAAACAAGGGGTGGGGGGGGGAAGGGAGCAGAGAGAAATCCAGAAGAAATAATTATCTAGCAGAGGAACAGAGGGGAAAGATGGAAAGGGCTAGAGAAGATTACTTCAGTCTCAAAAATAAATCATTAAGAATCTCTACTCCTCACTTTGAAAAGCAGAAAAATTGCTATCAGCTCTCTACTGCCAGAGGACAGTGGGTGTCTGAATCAAGGTTCTTTGGATTCATTTTGGGCAGTTGACTGCGGGAGCACTCCCATGCAGAACAGTGAGTTATTAATGTTATTGCAGCTCTGTTTCTTGTAATTTCAAAGAATCCACAGCATTATGATTGTGTTGTCAAAGACTAAATGTGGTTTCCAAGCAAAAACCAGAGCAACAGCATAATTGTTATATTGAAATGCAAATAAATTACCTTCTTGTAGCCATCAGGAGTGCCCAAACCCAAATCAGCTGCACAGTCCCAGTTGCTGAAACGATAATGCTGCATTCTGAATGGAACTGCTTAGCTCAGAACATTTCAAAGGTGCTCTAAATGATATGGTTCATATATTTCATATCACATTTATGTTCTTCCAAGAACAGCCCAAGGCTGCTGAGCAGCCACCTTCAGCAAATATTTGTTACAATTTAGAGAAATCCTTCTGAACATTTTGCTGTCCCTTGCTTTACCTGGCCTTTTCCCTGAGAATACAGCTTTAGAGTACTGCAGATGAATGGCAATATAGGAATATCCCTTTTGTTTGGCTGTAAATATTACAGTGGTCTGGCTATGTCCAAGCAGAGGTGTTACATTTTCCCTCGAGGGACACGGTAACACATCCACTAAAGATCAAAAGTTCACCCAGATTCTTCACCCTGTTTGAATGGTCATGTGTTCTGTGTTTTGATCAACTCTTTAGCCAGATGACAGCAGCTCTCCTCCTTCCATACTGAGGAAAAGGCCACCTGTGGACCAAGCTGTGGGGGAAAAGCGGAGAGCAGAGCGAAGGGTTCGATTTCGTGAGCCAGAAGAAGTCATTGAACATGGTATGCTCAAGCAATCAGGAATTTTGGCGTGACCTTTCCAGCTTTTAACATCCAGTCTGTCTGTCCACATCAGCTTCCCCCTCTGGTAATTTGTGACTTTCAGCTCAGCACGGAGCAGAGGATGGATGATGTTTGCTCTGCTCTGCAGAACTGCTCTGGTCCATGTGCCTGGCTGCCCTGGGAGTACACAGGCTCCTGCCTCACGCTCAGCTGCTGTCACAGTGAATCCTGAGTCAGCCCCCACAGGGGACATTGTACACCCTGGGCCTGGCTGGGCCCCAGGGCTTTCCCAGAGCAAGGTTTCCACTCAGACCAAATTTAAACATAATTATGTCACTGTGGGTAACCAGCATGCCACAGAATACAGCAGCAGAGGTCTGAGCCTAGCAGCCAGGATGTGATAACTTCTGCCAACAAAGGCACCCAAGCACTTACACAGCTAACAAAACCTCTGGTCTTTTCATTCATGAGCCAAAATACTGCAAGTAGGTCAACTGGGAGTGACCTTCAGCAGAGGTCTGGCACAAGGATCCAGTTTGCACTTCTGCACGTGCTGAATGCCATGCCAAATAATAATTGGTGTTACCTTCTGACTTTCCCAAACACATCCAACCAAGAAAATTGTATTTATTGGTAGAGAACTAAAATTACATGAGTTTGATATGTCAGTTGGTCAAAACACAGGTGGCAGAATGGTAAAATTTCTATGTCAGCCACCTGTTTGGACTGCTACAGCTTCTGAAAATAAGCATTGGCATCTGCTGTGTCTATAAACAGAACTCTCATTTGTTTGGCAATACATTGTTTGGGATGCATGAAAGGGAAGCTGTTTCTTGATAAGCTTGTTGACACGGCCTGGGCTTTCCCACCAAACTGAACTCTGGGAGAGACTCAGTGAGCCAGCCTTAAATTCCTCGAAGCTTTCATCTGACTGCTCAAGAGCAGGATTCTGATGGGAATTACTAACTCCCCCAACCCTCTGCCAGAGTCCATGCACCATTCCCATCAGCACTGGGAATCCTGCAGTCAGCCCAGCCCAGGGGCCAGGCTGGTCTCCCCTGGCTCTGACTTCAGCAAAGGCACGCTGAAGCTCATGCAGCGAGCTGCAAGCATGGAGAAGACTCTGACTCTTGTTCATAGAGACATGAGAAATGTTCAAACCCATAATTAGTATTCTGTGTTGCAAGCAGTCTGTGATTTAGATTATTTGCTGTTTATCCACACAATATTACTCACACTAAGGCTGGTAAAATGAAGGTTTCTGGCACCACTGAAATTTTTCCGTTTCCAATCCAGGACTTTTCATCCTGGATTGTGTCTGGGCCTGGCTGCCCAGCAGACACATTTTCAGGATATTGTTGATGAAAGTTAGTCTGACAGTGCTTTCTTGACTTTATTCTTTCAGCCTGCTGGTCTAAATTCTTTCCTTTCTAGGAATTATGTGGAATAGGGAGGGGTTTTAGCAGAGCTGTTTCCTGACCTCCCTGCAACAGCAGCAATCCTGCCTCTGAATTCTCACACACAATAATTTTTCCTCACTTTCCTGAAGTGCACCTGCATCTGCATGTTTGCATGGATTGGGTAGGTCCTCACCCAGAGCCAAAAGTGGTGTAAGAGGTTGCCCAGCATCTCCAAGGTGCCAGGCAATTTCAGAGACACTGCTGGGTTCTGGCTTTTCTTGTTCACTCGCTGCCAAGAGATCTTTCCAGGCAAGTAAAAACATTTTCATTTTGTTTTCTAGTAATTTCCTGCTGTGACTACGTAGTGGGTAAGTTGAATTTTTCACATTATAACTGTGAGCCATCCACAGCATTAACCTGAGTTTGCTTTTGCAGCTGGTGGGATGCACTGTGCAAATATACCCTCCATATACACAGCAGTTTGTGTTGTCAGTGGTTGCTGCTTTTTCTTCTCAGCATAATCAGCACAAGGTCTGGTGCAATTTTAAACAAGACATCTAGTAAGACAAATAGTGGAAACAAAAATTAAATCCCTGAAGCTATTTTTAAATTAAATATAATTAATATATTTTATGGCATTAGAATAGGTACAGGTTTCTCACTAAGATATGCAGGGAAAGCACCCCAAGCTAAACAATAGTTCTCCCTGCTGAGTTTCGTATGAGGGGAAGAGACAATTCATTTATATGCTATCAGCAGGATAGAAATAATAAAAATAATCAGGTTTTTTCTGATTTTTTTTGAGGCCTGGCAGCCTCACAGACCCCCAAGCAGATGAGGGTATCTGGATATTCTGATGATGGTGATCATTTCTAGAGGGCCTGGGCAACACACAGTCCTTGCTGTAGGCAGTGAAGGGGAGAGGGTACCTATACACATGTGCATATATATACACAGAGCTGTAGTTTTGGGAGGCCAAAAAGCCTCTCAGGGAGATGTCCCCATATCCCTCAGCTTTTGCTCTTGTCCAGGAAGAGGGGCTGTATGCTCATGACAATGGAAGCATCATCTAGGGCTGTTATTGGGCTAGAAACAGGGTACTACAGCCAGAAAAGGGCCTGGGGAAAAAGCAAAGATCAAATATTCTTCAGGGCACGGTGGAAATGTGTACCCAAGGCATGAACTGAGACAAAATCTCCTGTATTCAGGTCCAGTGCTTTTCTCAGATGAGTTGCCATGAGACAGGGCACAGGTCTGTGCTCTTCCAACAAGCAATTTAACTAACAAATTTAAGCATTAAATTTCTAATTATAATGTAGAAAAGCAAATTTGATTTTCAACACCTAAATGTAGTGATGGGCTGAAGCTGTTGTGAGCACAGCTCATCACAATTTTGCAGGTGGAATTACTCTTCTGCATTATTTTCTTCTGTTCATGGATAGAACATATTTCATAATTGAGAGGAGAGAAGGAAAGTCCAATTTTACATTTGAGATTGCCTGGATATTTTCCATGGAAAGTAACTTTTTAAAAGTTGAAAAAGGTTACAAGCACTTCATATGAAAGGGTTGATGTGAAAAGCTGTTCAGCTTCCACAGGAAGGTTTCCCTGCTCCCAAGTGTGCTCATCAGCTGAGCCCCACGTTGGAAAAGGCAGGTGGGGCACCCAGTCAGGAGCTGTAGCCTGTGGTGTGGGAAATCTCACCAGGGAAACACCAACTCCCAGCTCACAAATCTCTGCAAAACCAGAAAGTGGTGAGCAATTCCCTGGCTAAACACCTTCATATCAACCCTTCATAGAATAATGCCAAATAAAAAAATTTATAAAATCTGAAGCCTGCACACGGATAATTTGAAAACAGAAAGAAAGGCTAAATTCAAATGAATAAATTACTTGCTGCAAATAATTCACTCAGATCTATTATGGGACATTGATTTGGTTTCTGGTTAGCTATAAAATGACTGCCTATTAACATTTTACCTTTTCCCCATACACTTTTTGATACATTATTATGTGTTTCTGGCTTGGTTTTATGACTTTTACCTTCCTCTCTGTACATCTGTATGACAGTTTAATTGACTGGTGTGTATTCCAGGGCTCGGAGTAGAAGCTAATTTAAATATGTTACAGCTAATGTTGGCCCTTTACCCATAATAATACACTCCACATTTTTATCTCCTTATTGATTATGTGCATATGGCAGGAAAATAGCTGCACACTATGGGTTTTATTCAGGCATGAATTTGGCTTTATGCTGCATGTTTAATACTCTAAGTGCTTTATGAAATAGTGCCGACTGTGCAATGGCCGTGCAGGCAGACAGAGCAGCCAGAGCTGAATCCAGCTGGATCCCCAAGGCCCAGGGATGGGTACACACAGGCAGGGACTGGGACACAGCTGTCAGCAGGCTGAATGCAGCCTTCTGATTTCCACATGTGTGCTGTGCCCAACCTGCAGCACTTTAAACACATTTGAAAAATATTTTGAAGGCAGGAAAAATCTTTACAGTATCCTCTTGCTGAAGAGCAAGTGCAGAGCATGTTCTGGTGTAATTAGCACACATAGCACTCTGAGGGTGGTTCAAACTGCCAGAGCTTTCTGAACATGCCTCTTGGTTAATGGAGCCATGTTTGGGCTCTTCCCATTATTAGCCCCAAATAAGCTGACTTACCAGGTAAAAGGACAGAAATAAAACGCTCTTTTATGGAGCATCTGTGAACACTAAATAATAAGGCCAAGTAGCTTCATATTCTCCTAGCATTCAACTTAACACTTAGGGTGAAGGTATAAAAAATAATTGCTGGAGGGGAAGTTGAGATCATGCATTAGCTATGCTAATCCTGTTCTTATTGTATGTAATTAAACTCTTTAAATGCTCCATTAGATGATATCTTTCATACTCACCACCTTCCATCAGGAGGTGTGACTCACTATCACTTAACTGATGCCTGCAGAAGTGCTCACCACCAGAGCCCTCTGTACCCTGCTGCTGCCAGAGCACTGGGACAAAGGCATCAGCAGGGGATCAAATTTGGGAAGCGTTTAAGATGGCACTAAAATAATGCTGCTTTCTTTTTTTCTCCTCATCACCGTTCAGCAGATGACAGGACATCATCTGGATTGCCTGTGCTCCTGTGGCTCTTGTTTTGTGCAGTGCTGATCCTTGCTGTGAGTCTCTACTACACCAGCATGAAGCAAGATGTCACAGTCCTGGAGGAATTTCAATCCCGACTTGTCATCTTCTTTCTTCATATAAGACACGTTGCTCAGAGGTGCTGGACTTGGTTTCTGAGGCAGTAGCAGTGTTCTCCAGCCTGACACTGCTAAGAAACATCAGTGCAAAGCTCCCAGCCTACTGCAGCCACATGCAAGGAACACATGATCATCCACCTCAAAGAGCAAGGAAATCACCCCTGCTGTGCACCAGCCAGCAAACACTTGTTCTCCTTTTTCCTTCTTTGTTCTTTTCCTTTGTTTCACATCAATGAACATTCACACTAATGCTTTGAGGACCCACCAAACTCGTGCTCCATCCACCCTGAACACCAAACAAGTGTCTGGATTTGGTTACCCAGAGTTTATTAGCTGCTGATATGAGGAGCAAAAGCAGAGAGAGAAATGCATTGATCTGTGCGGGCAGCAGAAAACTCAGAAGTCTTGTGAGTCTCAGGTCAAGGCTTTAGATACCAAACCATCTTTCTCCTCAAGTCTCCTCAGAATTATTCTGCAAAGGTTAAAATAAAGCTGAGCTATTGCACAGACCCTGCTCTGCTGGCCAAAGGCTTGGCAAGCTGCTATATTTATACACTTGAAATTATTATTAGTAAAATCACAGCAAATGGCTTTCTTGTTTCCTTTCACGCATTTTTTTCATCCATGGGCAAAAAGCTGGTTCTTAATGCTTCACTTGACTCTCAGGTGTAGAAAAGAACATGGAAACTCATTTAAACAGAAAATAGTTTATTTGCCTAACATAATAAATAGCAGCATTGAAACCCAGGTTAATCATCAAAACAGTAGTTTAATCCTGCGAGCTTGATTCAGTCCATAAACCCCACAGGCTGACATGCAAGATTTATGATAGTGTTTGTATTCAGACAGAGGTTATGCCTGAGTATTCAAGGCCTTATATCATGATAATATGGACTGCTTATGAAGGTGTTGGATGCATAGTTCCTTTATCATTGTCCCACCATCCCATGCATTTCTCTGAAAGGAATCCTTTTAATGGAGATCATGTGAAACGGTGCTCTGGCTATCTGAGAGGAGAACAAATGACTGCAAGTTCATGAGCTTCAAAGAACCAGCACAAACAGCTTTTTAGATCTTAGATTCTGCTCAGCTAGCACCTGATGTCTGCTTGGGGTTATTTTGTATGGTAAAATTGACATCAGAACCTGTAAGTAAAAGAAATAGAGGAAAAAAAAGTGGGGGGGGGGGGGGGGAAACACTGCAGAGAAGATAAAGATATGTCTGCAAGACCTTGGCTTATATTCCCCCTGCCATTGCAACCATCAAAAAGGAAAAATGGTGCTTTATTTCTAGTTATTTTTTTAAAAGAAGGCCATACATCTGCCCCAGCAACCTTCTCCCAAGCAGCCCAAGAACTTTAACCAGGAGAGGTAAAACAGGAACACAACGTGCAATCTCCTCTCAGGAGAAGAGGAGGCAGCAGCTTGATTGAGAACAAGTCAGAATAATTGCAGCCCAAGACATAAAGAAGTGCCTTCAGTGGCTCCTCTCATGCCTCTCCCAAGCTGTCAAAGCCACAGGCAGGCATTGGACACGAGCTGGCCTGGGAAGCAGAGGGTGCTCTGGCCTGGAAAGCAGAGGGTGCTCTGGGAAGCAGAGGGTGCTGCAGGAGCAGGGTCTGGCTCAGGGGGCTGTGTGCAGATCACTCAGTACCCCAGCTCAAAGGGTGAGTCCCACCTCTGATTCCCTCCCTTCTACCCTGTCTCAGCCCTGCTGTTTAGGTAATAAAGAAGAAAGGTTTTAAACCTTTGTGTGCTGGTGAATCTCTGGGGAGGTTTAGATTGGTACCTGCATGGGGCAGGGGGGTGATTTCAACTCCTGTTTGCATTTTTTGAATGTTTTTTAATGTCCAGGTTGAAACTCTTTGGCAAATCAGTGGTGTTTCTTTTTGGCTCTGGGCTGACTCCTCCTAGGACTGTGAGGGAAAATGTGGAGGTGGTGTGAAGACCACACATGTGCTCATGTTCCTGCACAGCTCCCCAGGGGATGGACAGAGGACCACCTTTACACTGAGCCTGCTATAAAAGGAAAATGCCCACATTCCTCTTGTTGGGGCACAATTTATTGGTGTGAGTGAGAACTGCTATCACATTTGGGCTGTCAGGGATATTTAGCAGAGGAACAGCTATTTTTGGCTTTGGTGTTGCCTCTGTTTGGGACTCTTTTGGACACGGGAAAAGGCAGCACTTGAGTTATCTTGAGACCACTGTGGAGGTCTCACCATGGCTTTACAAGGTCTCCTGGGTCAGGATTGTTTACTGTGGTCAGTCAGATACTTGGCAGGCAGCAGAAAGCCAAATTAACATTGCCTCCAAGCCAGAAGGTTTGAAATAAATGAAGGCTAAAACCTTTTTCTGGTAGAGTGGTGGCATCTTGTAGGTGAAGCAACTGAAGCTAAGAAAGCCATTGCATGTGGGAGTGAATGAAGTGGGTCAATAACATGACTAGGAATAGGAGACAAAACTCCAGCTCCTGGGCCTGCATTTCTTTACTGCTGCACAACTTCACTGTGGACTTACCTCTTTTATTTCCTTCTCACACTGAAGCTCTTTTTCCATTCACCCATACTGCTTAAACACACACAACACTTTTTCCCCCTCTGCCCCTTCATTCTTTAGCCATCACAGCTTTATCCTCATCACTATGAGCTGGATGTGATTTCTCCTTATTCTTGTTCAATGGTGCTTTTTCTGGGTGTGACACCTTTATGAGTTTGGACATCTAAAGTCAAATAAAATTATCTGTGTTGGGTAATAATCCCTTTTTTGGCCATGCTGGGCAATATTTGCCTTCAGTACAACTACTGAGAATTTCCCAATAGAGGTAAAAAGGAGAGAGAGTACATAATTTATTGCAAAAAGTGGAGATGCTCACCTGAATTCACACTGGAGCCAGCCTGGTGAATTACTTCAGAAATCAAAAGTGCTGCAGCCAACCAGCCCTGGGCAATTGTATAATGAAGCTTGGAAATGGCTGTGTTTTAGATATAAAGGGCTGAAAGAGGGAGTGATGTAGGACAGGACCCGAGGTGCAGTTTTTGAAGCAGACAGTGGTAGGAGGCATTCCCAGGAGCAGTGGCTGGGGTGGCAAGAGGCAAAGGGCCAGGGGAGATCAGCAGGGGCATGACAATTGACCAATGGCAATCCCTAAGGGTAGAAGTGCTGCTTAAATTCCCCACTGCAGTGAGTATGTAACTAACACACAGCCGAAATAAGCAGACCACAACAGAAGGGTGTTGTTTTGACAGCGTTCAGCACATTCCTGCAGTGTGAACGGATGGAGGGCAGCTGCCAGCACCTTCTTCAGGCACATCGACAGCACCTGATTGCAGCAGCAGCTGTATCCATACCCGTGATTAGAGGAGATAGAAAAAGACACAGAGACATGACACGGGATGGTTTTGCATTAACCTTTTGATGCACTCAGCATTAGCACCAGTGAAAGGCAGTCCCAAAGACTGCCTCGAGTCCCCTTCCTTCATTTCATCTCTCCAACCCTGATAGTCTGGGAATGAGCCCGTAGCAGCAATTGTAATTGTCATTTCTGCCTTTTGCCACTTAGAAGCAAGCAGAAGAGCTGGCAGCTTGTGACTATAAAAGGGTGTTACCAACTGCCCCCAAGGAATAGCTCAGGAACCTAGTAGATAATAGTGTGGACTTGTTTCTTATTAATTCTCTGCTGCAAGATATCTGTTGGGAACCTTTATGCCCACTCCTGAAGAGAAAGACTGATGCTACATGAAGGAAATTAACCAGCTGGCATTTAGAAAAATGGCCTGTCCATGCAGCCTGTGGTCTCCCCTTACATTTGGTAACAAACCAGCTGCGTGTTGACACAGGACCATTTTCTCCTTGTCTCCAATGGCATTAGGGTCAGCTGCTGGACAAGGATACCAGAAGGGCTCAGACAGCTGAGGATGGTTGGGCATACCCTTAACTATACAAGTTGTGGCATGGAGAGGCTGGGGAATGGCTACAAAGACTCTACCACTGAGTTTGAGAACATTTTTTTTTTATCTTATATTGCAACAATTTAAACTCACCTTCAAAGAACAGGCACAGAAACATTGACTTTTCAAATAATTTATTTTTATATCTCACCAAATCATAAAAAGCCGATGCACTGTTCAGCAAAAAGCATCAATATATAAAACACATAAACTCATTATCAGTAATGCTGGAGAGTACCACATACACTGAACCCAGTCCAGCTCCTACTAAAGCCAGAGGAAACTCAGTGACTGCACTAGCAGAAGGACTGGATTCAGCATTTTTCTTTGCTGGGTGTTTACAAAGGGCTGTATTAAAATGCTAGTAAAAAGCTTCCCTTTTGAGACTGTATCAAAACAATAATAAATCTCACTCCCTTTCTGGTTTTGTCAAACACATGCAATTAAAGCAGTCATTGCACTGCAAAAGACCATACAAATAAACAGAGATAATATTCAAAACAGGCCAGGCTCTACCCTTAGCTTGTGTGGACTGGTGTGGCTGCTCACAGGATAATCTGTGTACACTGGTGAGGGATCTGCTCTTCAACTGCTTTCAGTGGTTAAACAAATTATGAAAAGTGTTCTGTTTTCTCTCCAAATACCCACTGTAGGAACCTCTTAAGCAGCATTAAAAAAAAAAAAATAGACAATCTAGACTCTTATAAAGCTTTTCCCAGATGGCTGTAAGAGACAGAAGCTCATGAATTCATACATCAGAGGACACATATTTCAGAGAGGCTGAAATGCTTTCAGGCTCTGCACTGACTTACAAGCGAGAAAGATCTGCTTCAGATCTTTGCAGGTGGTACCACACAAAACCACTAAACCTTTTAAAACTATGCGTGCAAATGAGCTACCCTTACAAATGCCAACTCTACAGAGATTTGGGAACAGTCCTTCTCTGGGCAAGTCAAGAGCTGCACTGGACCAAGGGTAGGGTATCTGGATCTGCTTTCCTCCAAATCTGGTGGCAATGTCAGAGTCTTTACACCAGATACCTGCACAGCTGGCACAGGTGGCTCTCTCCAGAAGCTGACTTTAGATCAGCACATGCTTCAAGAGGATGCTCTGCAATTTGTGAGGCCACATGAGCAGGTAGGGCTGAGCAGGCCAAGTAAAGGCTGAAATCGGTGTCAATACCACTCCTTTATGTCACAGCCCAAAAGCTGAAATCCCTCATGGGAAATGCACTGACTCCTTATTACCTATTTCCATTCAGACTGATGCCACTGTCCTGACAGCTCAGCTGTCCTTGTCTCTGTCAGGAAGAGATGTGAGAAATAAGACCCTATCAGCTTGATAGCAATAAAATCCTCTCTGAAGTTTGCAGGAATGTTTTTGAAGATTGTAGGATGCAGAGGAAGGGAACTTCCGTGGAACTGTTGGGGTCTTTTGCTATTCTTGTTTTGGTTATAAGCATTCAAAAACCTCTCTGGAGTGTACTTCAGATCACAAGATATTGATTCCTCAGTTGTGTAGCTTGGGCTGTTTTAATTAGAGTGTGTTTGACCAGAACTGCTCTGATACCAGCAGCCTGCATTGGCTTGGACCCCAGTGGAGTGATCCCCCCACAGAAGGATTCTGTTGAGTACAGAGCTGCTCAGCACCACTGAGCAAAGGGACTGCCTGCTGCTCTCAAAGAATGTGGTTTAATAAGGAGGCTGCCAGCAGTTTATGAAGTCAAATGCTGGACCCTGTTTCAACAACCATGGTTAAAATTGTTGCAGCACCCTAGAAAGTGGAATGGATTCACTGATGCAACCCAGATCCTGTGTTCCAGGAAGTTGTGCTGTGTTTCCAACACAGACTGTTGGACTTCACAGTGTTAATTGGGAGAAATAATTCTCTCTGCTGCAGGAGAGATGGGGTGAAGAGTTCTGGACTGTGTAATGTGGAATACCATGACAGTTTTCAGTTTTTTATGGTTTAACATAGCACTCATTTAATTCCACCAGGTTCCTGGAGAGACTGGTGGCACCAGCCTTGGAAACTTCCCAGAGCAACACATCAGCCAAATCAGGCCTGGCTTATGTAAAGGGAAGGGTTCAGTGGCATGATCCAGAGAGGCTGAATGAGAACACGGAAAATCCTTGACTGCTTTTCTTAATTTTTTGGACAAAATTTTCCATAAAGATTGCAATTTTTCTCACATTCATAAATATACTTCAGAGTCTGTATCCACAGTGGAGTCAAATTTGCCCAAATCTGGGGGGAAACAAGGAGAAAATAAGGAGGAGATGAAGAGTAGTTTAGTCTCAGGATAGTTTACTCACTTGTGTGAGAAACCATCCAAGATACCAAAGTACTTACAAATCATCATTCTCACCTCTTGGCAGGTTGGCTCAGCCCTCACTTTACAACACAGTCGAGTGGCAAGGGGGAACAAAACCTTCTCACATTGGGTTTCCACCACATACAAGAAATTCCAGCTATTTCAGTGAGCAGCTCTTGCTTCCAAGTTGTTTATCTCCTTGATAAACACCAGAGCCAGCATGCTAAATAATTGTTATTTAGGAATTTCAAGCCAAGTAGAAGAGCTGCAGCAGGAGGATTCAAGGGGGATCAAGGATAACCTTTCATGTCTAACAAATTGCTGTTCTTGTCTTTTTATTTTGGTGAGGCAAAAATAAATTAAAAAATCCCAAACCAAAATTATATCATTATTTGATCAATGCAAAGTGCTATTCACACAGCACTTCTTGGGTACTTATGCCTGTTTTTTAGCAATGAGGATTTGACAGCAAGCTAATAAGCATTAAATCCTTTAGCTGTCTATGGAAATAGGATTTAGCCTCTCACATGGATTCAGGTTTTTTTCTCTATTGTGTGCAATAACAGTTCAAGCAGTTATAGCAGCTGTAAGAGGTAGAGATCTTTAAGCACTCGTGTGAATACATTCACATTCATCTGTGTTTGCAACAGCAGTTCAATTACACTCTTTGGCATGGACAAAAAAAAAACTAAAGAGAAAGCATGGCTATGCTAATACTCTTCCCAACAACAGGATGGAAAAACATTATTCATAAAGTGCCTGCACTGAAATAAAGCAGTACTTGCTATACCTTAAGTAAATTCTGCTCTAACCTTCTGTTTGTTCAGAAACAAATGATATTTTTTCTGAGAGAGTGCAGTTCTCTTCTATATCAGGAGAGCATGAAAGTGCTGTTTTCTATGCAGTTCTTAACTTCATAAATCACAGAGTTGAATTTTGTCATTTTAAAAAACATCCATTAAAAAAAAAAACAACAACTTTAGATGCATATATGTGAGTACTAAAATACAGCTCAGGATAGTTTTCCTCCTTTTTATGGAGGACAAAAATAGAAACATGTACTTCAAGGCACTAGTGCCATGAACAGAAATAGTTTTAAAACAATTTCTGTGCTTACGAAGTTACATTAGCATTTTGTCACTGCAGGTAAAGCCTTCCTCTTTTCCCAGATTGCCTAACCAGAAGGAAAGGATATTTGTAGTCTGCAAAGCAAACATTCCAAGAGATTAAAATGGGCTCTTTCCATCAGCAAAGGAAATGGTCTGAGGCACAGATTTAGGATCTGGACACAGCCAGGATGCTCATTCACTCAAGGATACTCAGGTCATTGTTACAGAAAAAAGCCCAAAAGTTTTGTCATAATCCAGATTGGTTTTTCACAAAATACTGTCAGTCTTTCCAGTATAAATTATGTCTGGATTTTTGCTAAAGATATAATTTAAATGGTAAAAGTGATTTTACATGCAGTATGTTAGAGAAGGCTTTGAAAAAGGGAGATGACAAATCCCACGTACATCCAATACCAGGTTTGTGTGCAACGTGACTGTGAAGTGTGAGCTCCTCTTCCCTGCATCCTGAACACTGCATAGGTTAAATCAGCAGTGTTCCACACTGGGGAGGGAAGGCCTTGAAGGGAAATCTGACCCTGTTCCTAACTGGACTAATTTAGGCTAGCAGCAGGACGTTACTCAGATAAAGGGGAGGAATTGAAACACCTGCAAACCTGCATTAGAAACTCATCTCAGCCTTTGGGAGGTTATGCATTGGCCAGTGCTTTCCCACTCTGCCCACATCAATTCCACCTCTGGGTACCAGAACCATTGTCACTGCACGAGTCCCAGCGCTGAGTAAAAGGAAGTGTAGAAATTTAAGGCATTCTAACAGCCACACCAGCCAAAGCTTCTTGTTTAGAGAAGAGCCTATATCCACATGACAGAAGAGCAGTGGAATTGGCATTTATCTGTGTGCATTGTACATACACAGAGAATGCTTTCATTACAAGGTCTGTACTTGTAACAATATCACTGGATATTGTAACACCTCCTTTTTTAAGGGACCATAGAATCACTGCTATAGTATGAACCTGTCCTTCAGTTTTTACAGTAAATCACCATGCTCTTATTTTTGTGATTCCCACTGAAATTTCCCAACTGAAAGATGCCTCATGAGTTAGTGGTATAAGATGTTTTGTGCATGAATGCACTCATGAGGAAGTTCTGTTCCAAAAGATGGCTCCAATTGTTTCTCCATTATAAAAAATAGTAAGAAACAGCATTGATCTAAAAGCTCAGATGACACTTGTTAGCTTAGATTCTTCTAGCCCAACGAGGACTGCTAGCAGGGTATTGGTGGGAAATTGAACCACAGATGGTAGCCAGAGAATATATTTGATACAACAGAATAATAGTGTGGCATCAGCCCAGTGCCTTTGAAAGGCCACAAAGCTTTTTCCCCTTGTACCATGTGACAATAAATAAATAAATACTAGTATAAGTACCATACAGTGTTCTAGTTCTTTGAATACAGATCTTGTTAGAGTGTTCCCTGCCTTTGAACATGGCAAATTAAAGGTATTGAAATGTCAGAGAAATGCAAAATTTGACTCAGCCCCATGATGTGCTGATTGGCAATGGGTGACTAAAATCAGACATCAGAAATGTACAAAAGAGAGAAGTGCATGAGAGAGAGCACAGGTAGGTATGTATGTGTGCATAAATTACACCACAATTCTAGCACATTTCCAGCTTGGCATCACCAGCCTGGCCTGAGTGCCTAAGCTTTAGGAGAAGAGGTTGCAGAAAACTTAGTGCAAATAAAAAATACCAAGTGTGTCCAAAAACTGGGAGATGCAGGATACCCTTCCTCTTCTTGGGTCAGCCAGAGAGATTCTCACTACCTTCTCTGCCTTCTGACTCACACAGGGGCTTCCATCAAAAGCAGCTTTGCTTTTAAGCATCACTGATGCTTGCAAGGAGGTACCAGCCTCACCCCACCTGGTCAAGGCAGGGAAGCTGTGAAAAACAGACTGACATGGGAAAGCTGTGAAAAACAGTCCCATTCACATGGGATTCATAGAAGAGCTTCAGCCCCTTTTCATTTTGCATGGCAACTCCAAACCCAGGACCAGTGTTTGCTGCTTCTCATGGAAGTGGGAAGGAGGAAAAAGACCTTGAGACAGGAGAGGTAGAAGAAAGCATGAGCTCCAGACAGCCTCACCCACAAGCAGCATCCTCTCTTTCAGAAGCAGAGACAAGTCCTGGGCCCTGGTACCTCAGAGCAAGAACCACAAGAAGACATTTGTTTTCTTCTGTCTCATGGTTCTTCAAACCCTCAGGCAACACCAGGAAGAGTGGTCCCCATCCACATGTCACTCCAGCCTAAGCTTGATTTGGCATATACATAAAATATATTACACAAAGCAGCATCATGGTTCCAACACAAGGAGTAAGGCATGCACTGAAGTAATTTGTGGGAAGAGACATCACTGCTGAGTGAAAGTGAGACTGCCTTTTACAGCTGGAGAAACTGGGAAAAATGGGAAAACAGGCTAACTTACGAGACCCAGGCTTTTCTTCAGGGTATGAAGAAGGTCATTCCCTGGCAATGGACTCGGGTACTTGCAAAAGTGTTATCTCCTACTAGAGACAGAGTAATTTAGGTTGAAAAAGACCTCTAGGATCATCCAGTCAAACCATTAACCTGGCACTGCAAAGGCCACCACTAAACCTTGTCCCTCAGTGACACATCTGCCTTTCTTTTAAATATGTCCAGGGATGGTGACTCCACCACTTCCCTGGGCAGCCTGTTCCAGTGCTTGACAAACCTTTCAGTGAAGGGACTTTTCTTAATATCCAAACTATTAGACCAAATGAATTTTAAAAAGGCACTCTGACAGTCCTGATATCTGAATTTTAAATTGGCATTAATTAACTTGATCTCTGATTCCCTCTCCAGGAGTCCTCCTCTGATGTCAGCTCCCAAGTACAAAAAAAGCCACTGCTGCAAATCTTTCAAAGGAATTGCATTCTCTTGTGGGCAGAAATCATGCTGAAGAACAAGACCTCTCTACAGAGAGCTGTGGCCAGCTGGGGCTCTGAGCAATGTTCACAGGGCTGGCTTACTGCTTAAGGCCCATGGAGGAGCCTATGAAAACATTTTGGCAGTTGAATACTATGTCAGATTTTATACCCTAAAATGCTTAATAGTTGGGGGATTTATCATGACATCAAATTCTGTTTCAATGAAATGCTTAAGCTGGTACTTAACTAAGCATCAGAGAGTCCCTAGAAGACAACAGTAAATCTGCATGGTTGTGCTAACCCCAGGCTTGGGCTCTGATGTGGTAGAAGCCTGCTGTCCTCTCTCCCTTCATTCTGATTTACCAGCTCATATAATCATGTGTGGTTTGCACTTCTGTTACAATAAATTCAGTCTCACCTCAAACACAGGTACCACAGGCAGTGTCAGCATACTCCCAAAAAAAAATTTCAGTCCAAACTTAGTTGTTTGCTTAAGTTTTCTGCTGATTTGGGGTCTTCCGTGCAATGTGTACCTGGGGATAAATGCTGAATCCTAGCACAGCTCTGCCATGCAAATCCCACTCTGAGTGACTCTTCTTAATTATCAGAGCTACCTCTGATCTCAACAATCCACCTGATTTGTTGAAGCACTGGCCAAGCAAAACTGAAAGCAACAACACAGCCACCAGTGAGCTTTGTGTAAATAGCAATTCTTCCTTTTCACAGCAAAATTCATCTGCCCTGGAACTCCTGCCCATGAGTGGGGAGAATGGACCCTTTCAGCACTGAACTACCAATAAAATAACTCAGCTGTTTGAACTCCTTGCTGTGTTTATATATAGAAACCTACAATGCAAATGCTTACAGTAATTTTGCATATTCTATATGAAATAAATATCACAAATAAATTCTAATATTCAAAACAGAATAATATACAATGTTAGGGACCAAGTTACATTTATAAGTGCACAAGCATTAATACTACCTATTCAGCTTAATTTCTTAGTATGCAAGCTTCAGCAATTTCTAGCTACACTTCACTTCAGGAGTCATAATAAATGCTGCTCATGCCAAAATCTAAGAAGAAACAAATCCACAAATGTTCTCCGTCGTCTTCCATATTAAACACAGTTTTTGACAGGTGCTATAATAATATACGAGTTTCATGGAATTCATTAACACTGTCCAATACTAAATATCAGGTCTGGAACACGGGTCTCTATGTTGGAAATAAAATCAGAGCAGGAGCAACATGTTTGTCAGCACTGCATCCATACACAGCGAAAGCAGAGACAGCGAGAGCCTGCACCCGAACCAGAGCTGCAGCTTCCCCGGGTAAAGACAGAGCAGGGGCAGCTTCACTGGCAAAAGGGAGGAGAGGGACAGAGGAGGGGCTGAAGGCAGCTCCAGCTACAACTGTTTTTGAAGAATAGTTTGAAGAAATAGCCTGGATGCTGTAGCCTGGTCTTGCCAGCTCAGTCCTCAAAAATGGCCCCTGTCCCAAAAGCCAGCGATGGCACGTGGGAGCTCTGCTGACAAGGGCAGGTTACAAATTTTGTCTGCACAGGACAGAAAGTTTGCTGTGCCACAGGCACATAGGGCAGTTCATCCTCTTTATCCTAATATCAGTATTTCTGCCAACAATTTCTCATGGGGGAAGTGAGTAATTCACAATTACATTGCATTTCAGGAAAAGAAAAGATCTCACACACTCAATACCCTGACTCAGCTTCAGCTCACATTACTGAATAATAAAATCTAGATCCTGCCCTGGAAATTTGCTTACGCTTTAGATCATGCCACTTTTGTCGTCTTGCAAAGAGGATCTTGAAGGGGATCTTCCTAGCAACAGCTCCTTCTCATGGATCAGGCTATCTAGCAGATCCTCCTGTCTGTAGTTGTGATAAACCTTCAGGAAAGCCAAAATGGTAATTGCCAGCCAAGTCAGCCAGGCAGCCCAGAGACCAAACTGGAGAAGGAAAGAAATCATAAAGAGGTCAGTACAGTATTGCAAAAACAAAGTCAGCTGTCCAGGTGATTATGGAAACCTCATATGGACCAAAACCCATGGAGTCATGCCAAGCTAAATCCAGAGTGGTCCTGGGTTCTTCATATAAAGGAGTCACTTTTTTGGCATATTTCTTTCCTAAATGTAGTTATGCCTGAGCTTGGCATCTAGATGCCAACATTGGCAACAAAGACAAAAAACTGGCTCATGCCTAAGAGGCAGGGTTACCTTCAAGGAATGTTCCAGGCAGGCTAATGCCTCTTTCCATGTGGGACAACATAAGCCTTTGAGGGTGCAGCCCTGCAGGGATGCAAAATTAGTATGTGCTCATGACAGTGTTCACTGACTGATCATTGGCTTAGAGCTAGAATATTCAATAGAAAGGTCTGACAGCCTTAGAGGTCTAATTCTCATGGATTCATCAGAAAACAACCCTATCTGAATGAATCAATCTTTGATTCTTTTCAATGGTCTGATATTTATATAGCTTAGGTGATCTCAGTTAAAGTCAAGGAAGGTAAAACTAGGAACCCCACAACATGGTGCAGGTCAGAAATGATTTTGAACAGTAATGAAGAGATCCAGGACACCAGAGTGGTGCAACTTTTGCAGACCTGATCCTTTGGATGAACAATGAGTTTTCTGTCATGATTAACAAGATCAGTGGTAGGGTGAAGCTTTGACATATCTGTATTCAAAACTGTCTGTTTTGAATTTAAAAGGTAAATGTGCCCATCACTATCATTCTGATTCAGCACTTACTGAAGTCAATGGAAACATTCCCATTGATTTCTGAGAATGGTAGTTCAACTACAGCAATCCCAGGTCAATAAGCAAATGGCAAATTAACTGGAATAGAACCATGACTTAGTCTGACCTACCTGTGCAATAGCAAATTGGTCATAGAAAGCAGAGTTTTCCAAGTTCAGCTCAAGATCTATATCCTGCAATTCTTCACAGCTACCCAGAAAGGCATTTGGAAGGGAAAAAAAAAAAAAAAAAAAAAAAAAAAAAAAAAAAAAGAAGAAAATTTAACAGATTCTAGGTAAACCAAATATAAAATGAAACAAAATATTAAATGTATTTTGAACAGCCACAATGGCACATTCTATCAAAGAATAATTAAGTTATTGCAATCATCAGGTTGTTTGCTGATCTTCTCTAAAACTAAGATAAGAATTACTTTGTTTTATCAAAAAAAATCATGTAAGTGATAACACAAATCTTTCAAAAGTGGAATTGTACTATTTGATATGAACACAGCATCCTTAAACCCCTCCTTCCCACTGCCCCCTCACCTCCCACAGATTTGCCCCTGGCATCACCCCAGGTTGGTTTTTTCACCCCTCAATGAAACAAAGTGTATGATCCTCTGTTACCTTTTGACTTCATCAGGAAAAGCCTCAGAAGAAGGTATTGTGTTTTTGTTTCAGATGCTCCAGCAAGGAGACGATACTCTGATGGTAAGATAGGGGCTGCCTACAGATTTTACAAATAACTTGGACCATTACTGGTGTGAAAAGAATCCCAGGATTTTGAGGTTGTCATTCTACCTCTTGGTTGATTTCTGCAGCCTCTTCTCTCTCCTTTTCAGTGCTGTCGGTCATCTTGGGTTCTTACCCGAATATTCGATTAGATGCTTTTTGTAATTGAATTTTTAACCGAATATTCGAGTAATTCGATTAATCCTTGCAGCCCTAAACAGAACATTCACTATGGCATTTTACAACATATGACAATGTGCAACACAAATGTATGCTTTAAGTAGTACACTTATTCGGTATCATATGACATAAAATGTCACATTTTCCTCTCTCTTCATCATTATTTGTTTGACAGGAGCAAATCTTCCTCAATGTATCATGATTCCTATAAGGAGCATAAGCATTGTGGGATACAGTGGACCATTTTAGGAGCTGTACATTTTGTGACTGCAACAAAGCATCAGCCATCTGTACTTTGCTTTCCATTCTGTGGCACTCAGGACATCCACAGCATCACTACTAGGCATGGAACTCTACCCCAAATGTTTTGTCTGATGATGAGTTGTGGCACAGGCAGGGTAAGTGACTTGCTTGGAGTCACACAGTGGCTTGGGGGCAGAACCAGGATTGTAAGCCAGAAGTCCTGGCCCCCAGCCCCCTGCCCTGCTTACAAGGCCACATTCCCCCCATTCTTAGAAAAACTCTAAATCTAGCATTCCTTTGGAAATAAAAAAAATTAACACAATGGATTTGTTTTTCATGTTGTCATGACCACAAAATATGATGGAAACACACGTTTCTTTGTGGGCTTCTAAATAAAGAAACAAAAAGAAATTTGATTTGCTTTGTTTTGTTCCACATGAAAAAACTCTGGATTTTCATATTACACATGCCTTCTCCCCCTTGCTCACCTTGCATGTAATAACTACACTTTGTAACACCACAGCTCAATTGTGCCTATATGAAAAAAATAAAAGGAATAAAATGTATTCTCCAATACTAACCTATTTGGCATGCTTCCTTTTTCAGTAATTGCATCACACCACATGTTAAATCCTACACTCACTATAGTGCTGGCAATAAATGTGATGAACACCACAAAGGCGCTGATCAGCAGATTCAGGAAGGCGTAAAAGAAAGAGCTGTAATAAAAGGGAAGAAAAATGTAACTCATAAACAGCTGAAACACAACATCAGCAGTCTCTGTAAGCAGCACAGAGTGGGCACAAAGATATCAGTTTCCATTTAAAACACATCTTTAATTAAGAACACCTAATACATTGAAACACTGTGGACTTGATTTTGAGTCACACTACCTTCACTTGCAAATGCTTTTGATTTTGATTTCTTTTTTAACCATAAGAAGATGTGGCTTTATATAATAAGTGGTGATTGTTCATACACAATGTGGCTTTCATTAGCTGAAATGATGAAAATCACCACTGTTAAAATAAATGTCATTAGCTCAAATTATGTAGTAACTGCAGCTAAAATTATTTCATGACTTAAGTGATAATTGGGACAAAAATTGCTTAGAAGAGGGAAACTAAAAATAAAAACACAGAACTGATAGCTATAATCATTTTAAGCAATGTAACACAAGGTACTGCCATCACAGGACACGAATCTCAGTTTTATGGGCAATTTGCAGAGCAGGCCAGCTTCTCCTGAGATTTCTCTGGCTTTGGTGTCAGTATGCTATGTCTGCCAGCTGAATATCAATTTATCTCAGCCCCATTAAGTCTGCCCCACCAGGGCCTGCCCTCAGCACATGCAGTGTTTGGAGTGGGATGGGTGGGATGCTTACAGATTTCCCATAAGGCCATGGAATCACTCTCTCATTTTCACTCTTTAACTCCTCACCTGAATTCTAGCTGTGAAAAGTTTCTAATCCCAGTCATCTGGCAAAGCCCTTCTCCACTTGAAACTTCTCTAAGTGTCTGTTTACAATAGGACACATTGGAATGTGACATTATGTAAAAACTGGACGTTTGCTCCAGGTTGGAGAAAGATTGGCAGCTCCAGGAGGCAGGTCATCCTATTCAGTGTGTGGTAAAGATGAATATGACAAATTTCTCACCAGTGCCACTCATCATGCTGGTGATAGAATGAATCTACTCACCCCAGAAAAGGAAAAAAACCCTCAGTCACTTCTTTTCCCTGGTTGCTCACCAAATGAAAAGCCAAGAGGCTTTTTAAATGAGTGTTTGAGTCTTGGAAGGTTCTGGGCTGGAGAATCCTAATTTCTACAGGTTATACATGACACATTTGTGACCTCAGGAGAATTTCTTTAAAATGAGATGAGAAAGCAATTATCAGCAGAGTTAGGATGCTTGCTCCTGGGTTGGTGAGGCCTTAGAGGGACAGTCTAGGTTCTCTCCAAAGTGACAGCTGTCCCACCCCAAGACTGATAGAAAAGTGAAATAAATCACCTTCAAGAAGTGCCCCTGTAGACTGCAGTGGGTGCTGGATGCCAGGACACCTGACTTCTGGATGAATAATAAGCTGAACAATAAGCTGAATCCTGCTCTGCTTTAGTTGGGCTTGGTGAAGTAGATCAGCTCACCTCTGCTGTGTGCTGGGGTCACTCACACAGTGAGAGCTGCTATGATACCAGATTTCTGCATGTTCTCTGCCCTGATTTCACACCCAGCCTGGATTTCATCCCAAGCATTGCTGAAGTCAGATCAAATCCTCTGTGTGCACCTTAGCATGGTAGGCTGGCCTGAGAGGCAGAAAAGCCTTGAGCTGTTCACAGAATAAAACAAACTTGGCACCAGAATTAGCAACAGCTCTAGAAAATGAGCAGTTACCAGGACTATTCAGTGGGTCATCACAGCCCAGGATCTTCAGCTCTCCTTCTCCCTCTGTTTCCTACCCTGCAGTGAGAGAGGTTCCATGGCCCAGGACATGACCTTCCACTGACAAAGCAGGGCTCAGCCTTGCACCTGATTTGCATCTGGCAAGAGAAACCATCACCAATGCCAGGGCATCCTGACAGAAAACTTCTTATTTGGATCTCTAGATCATCTGATTTTTTTCTCCTTAGAACTTCAAGATATGGATTGCAGATTGAGTGAGTGCTCTTTAATAATGTTTACACCTAAAGTTGCTTTGCAATCCTAGCAATGAAGTATCTGAGTTAAAAAACTTATTATTTGGATCTCTACATCATCTGATTTTTTTCTCCTTAGATTAGAACTTCAAGCTATGGATTGCAGATTGAATGAGTGCTCTTTAATAATGAATGTTTACACCTAAAGTTGCTTTGCAATCCTAGCAATGAACAATGAAGTACCTGAGTTAGACCTCCACCCTTCAGCTGAGCTGAAGAGCCCGAGGGAAGGGGGCTGAGGTAAGGGGTGCTGAGACCCTTTTAATGTTTTTTAGCAGTCATAACTGCTAGAAAATAATCTGTCAGTAATCATTCAAAGCCATTGTACATGAAAGATGCAAAGGGTGCTAACTAAGCCTGACTGCCTTGGCTGGCTCACCCTGGAGCTGGCCCAGTAGCAGTGATCCTCCTTGATAGGATCCTCAGTTAGGACATTCTGGCTCTTCCTCAACCACCTCTAATCAGAACAGACAATTATCATGTATGGTGAGGAGCTCACATTTATCTCTCCATCCAAACAGAAATGTTTTTGCACCCATTTGAACTGTTAACAAAGGGTTGTCTGAAACCAGGACAGTGTGAGCCCTGCCTGCTTTTCATATGGTGGTGATGTGGAACAGGACAGACCTTCCTTCTACCCAAGAAAATGCTGTTCCCAAGCATCTTGCCATGTTGTATCCTCCTGTGGTGTTCTGTGGTTATCTCATCATCCCAACTTGCTCCATCTTTGCTCCCCACCACCCCACAGCCTTCTGCCTTTCTTGCCTGGAGCAGCTATGAACAGTGTTATACAACACCCAAAGGAGCCTGAAGGAGCTCCTAAAGGGACACTTTTCAGGGGCCTGCCGAACAGTTTTGAAGTTAACAGCCACTTTTGAAAGCAGGCCAAACATCTAATCCAAATGTCACCATTACAGGGTTTTTACTGCTGGTTTCTTCTAAAAATTAGCTAGCTCTGACCTGCAAAGCACTGAGATTCAATTAACCCTCTACAGATATTGGATCACCTGAGGAAGCTGAATTCAAAGATATTAAGAAGTATGTGGTTGTATTTAGTGTAAGGCAAATTTTAATATGGAATAAGTTTCTGGTCCTCACTTACTACATGTATGAGTGCTGCATGTTTGAGTATTAGGCAGGTTGAGAGTGATTGGAAAGAGCCAGAAAGACAAAACTGCTACCCAGCCTCCAGGGTTACCAAGCCCAGATGTAACGACCCCTTACCCAAGAAACCTCCAGTCCAAACAGACCTGGACAGGAGTGATTAACCCTTGGCATGGCTCCTAAACCATGGGAAAAGTATTTTCCTAGTTTAGACAGCACCAGTGCATTGTCCAGCCCTGGCCTGTAGCACCTGGGTTACCTGCACCAGGGTCTCTGCCCTCTCAGGCCACCAGAGGGGCAAGCACAGAACATCACAGTGCTCCTAAGCTGCTGCCTGGCCCACCAAGCTTCTCACTACGTCTTCTGGAGTGGGATGCTGTGGAATCCTTCCCCATGCTGCTATAGGATGCCCCTTGGCTTGTGTGAGCACAGGAACCAGCCAGTGCTGGAATCAGTCAGTGCCACCCTGAGCTGCTGCAGGAGCGCTCAGCATTGCTCTCACGCTGTAACCAAGCAATAGCTGCCATGTATACAGCAAAAGCAGCACAAAAAAGAGAGGGGAGGCACCAGCTTCTCCCTCCTGGCCCCCCACGCACCACCATGTTGTTTCAAGGTTTTTCACACACCCAGTGCACAGCTGGGGAGGGCCTCCTTTGGCACAGATGTGTAGTGGGACCGTGGTCAAGAGGCACCTGTGGGCCCCAGCCTCCAGCATCACCCCACAGCCCCCAAATCCTTCCATGCCCACTGCAGCTGAGTGGCCACACGCCACACCACTACCATGCACCAAAGGGCAGTGGGTGCATGGCAGTGGATCTGACCCCCCATCCCAAAGGAGCATCTTCTGGAGAGGGCCTGGACACTGCTGGGGGCGTGCCTGGTGTGTGTGCAGACAGACACGGGCCATACACCAGCTCTCCCCAAAGCCCTGGATGGTGCCCAGCCCAGCGCTTCACCCCCGCACTGCTCCCACGTGCCCCAGCCTGCGGGAGGGGTGGGCTTATCCGCAGGGATACTTACTCCTCGTGCCCTTTGCAGAGGAAGAAGAGGGTCCTCCAGGCCTGCACCGTGGCCAGCAGCAGGGAGAGGAGCCCGGTGAAGATGCTGAAGCGGCAGGCAGCCTCAGGCCCCCACTCCTGCACCGTGAAGCGCTGCCGCTCCACCGTCAGGTTGGCGTTGAGCCACATGCCCTCGGTGAAGAGCAGGCACCGGCCGTGGAAGTCGTTGCCATTCTCGGAGAGCGGCACCACCACGATGAAGCTGAAGAGAAAGGCCAGGAAATAGCAGATGCACTGAGCGAAGAGGAAATTGCTGAGCGCCATGTCCGCGGCTCTGCGCAGGCAGGGGGAGGGAGGGAAGGAGGGAGGGAGGGGTGGAGAGAGGGATGTAGGAGGGAGGGATGCAGGAGTGATGTAGGAGGGAGGGATGTAGGAGAGAGGGATGCAGGAGGTAGAGACGCAGGGGAGCGATGTGAGGTGGGACGCGGGGAGGATGGAGGGATGGAGGGAGGAAGGCAGGCTGCAGCAGTAGGCGGTGGGAAGGAGGGAGGATGCGCAGTGCAATGCAATGCAATGCAATGCAGTGCGGTCCGATGCCTCCTCCGGACACGGCTGCTCCCTCTCCCGCAGCCCGAGCTGCCCCTCTGAATGGCTTCAGGGCTTGTAGGAGAAGAGGGGAGCGGAGAGAGGAAGAGCTGTTGTGAGGTATCCTTCTTGGGGAAAATCTGGCTGCCACTACGCCCTGGCGCGCAGGGGGTTAAATCAGTCCGTGCGTCCGTGGGGACCGCCGGTGGGGGACCCCCCTAACGACACAGGACACTGATGTCACCCCTGTTGATTGCCATCACACCCCCACACAAATACCCAAAACCAGCTGACTGACTTCATCCTAGCTGCTGGATCCCGGGAAATTTGGACCCAAGTTTCTGAAACCCTGGCCACCAGCCTCGGACGGTGGCAATCACAGACGGGGTGCACAGCCACCCCCGCCCCTACAGACCCAGTGGTTTTGTTCCTAGCCCAGCTGGTCACACCCATACAGAGGTGTTGCAAGGGGAGAAAAGAAGTGGAATTCCTCTCACCAGAAGCGGAATAACTTTTCCTGAGCCTTGGTGTTGTTTAGGGCTGCCTGGGGTTGGGATCAGCTCCGTTATCCCCTGGCTGGCAGGTGGAGCAGGGCTGAAAGAAAATAACCTTAAGCAAGTTCCTGCTGGACACCAAGCTGGGAACAGAGCAGCACAGCAATGGGACATACGCAGCAGGAACTGATGGCATTTTATTCCCGGGGGTGAGCAGCTCCCTGTCCCACACCTTGCCTGGGCAGACACCAGAGCACCCCCTCTGCTGTAGGGCCCAAAACTGCCAGGCCAGGATGCCAGAAAGCAAAAGGCACCAGAGAGGGGAATGTGAGTTGTGCTCAGATCACTCTGGCACAAAAATCCAAATCAAACTGACCTCAAGTTATAGTTTTCCCACAATCCCAATTTCATTTTTCCATCTCAGCATGAATCCTCTCTCCAGCACAAAACACCACAATTAATGTCCAGTTCCAGGTAAAGTAATTTCCTAATCTAATTTCCTAACCACATCCAGTCTGAGATCAGCTGCAGGTCTCAAATCACCTCTTAATCCCAAGGCTGTTTACACTCATTTTATCACTGTGCCACATCTCAGGAAGTGTTTAGAGAAGCAGATGAGGGACAGAGACCCCAAACAGTGCACATGGGAATTCAGGCTGGTGTTTCCGTTGGGCGATCAAACAATTATTTCTGTGTGCTGATAAGAGGTTACAGATACAGTCCTAAGGAGGGCACTGGGGGGACTCTCAGAAAAGACATTAATTCACAGTTTCATTATAAATCATTTGTAATGCATATTATCTTGAAATCTCTATCTGTGCAGGGGAAGTATTCCCTCAATAAAAAACTTTTTCAGTACAAATGTAATGTGTCAGGCCAGTTTTCTGATCCTTACCCAGCACTGATCACCAAAAATTGTATTTCAGTTTTGTAAGATGAGTTATAGAGCACTGACCTGACCCTGTGGGGATAGATGTGTGCTCCTAAAAGAAAAGATTTTGCTGATATTTCAGTCTATTGGTAAGGAGGAAAGTTTATTGTTCTTAACCTTGCTTCCAAGAAGTGCTTGGTTCCCAAAGGGTTTTATCCTTTACCTGTAAAGAAATCAGACCTGGATTGAGGTGGAAAACTCTTTTCTTTGAAATGTGACACATCAGATTTGCCAAATAATGTTTTCTGAACTTAACCTGGGGGGTCAGCACCAACATAAAAGCCCAGTTATTGCTTACACTGGAGGCCACAGAAGGGGCCAGCAGGTGCCAAGGGCGCTTTGCCTGGGGCAAGCCCAGTGCTCAGATCTTGCCAGCAGCAACCACAGGGCTCTGCTGCACGAGGCTGTTTGCACAGGACACTGTGGGGTCACTTACAGAGCAGATAAAATTGTCTTTGCTGATGAACTAACTCAAGCGAGCATTTATTGGAGAGCTTCAGAAAACACAGCCAGGCATTTACAAATGTGAGCAGACATGCAAAACATCTGCACTTAGCAGGCTGACAGCTACTGGAGCTTGGTCTCAAGCAGTGAGCACACACTGGAGTGAGCAAAGGGATGGAGATAAAACCTGTCAGCCATCACTTTGGAGCTGCCTGGATTTCTCATACTCTTCTCTCGTAAATCCTAAAAAAAAGTCCTGCTAGGCTGGAATCGGTTTCAGAAACATGGAGTTATTTCAGTGGAGTAAATTCGATAGGCTTACTTTTCTCATCGTGGTGAAACTGAGGGAGAAAGGCAAAGTGAATGATTCATTCATTCTCTTATCACAGGGAATGGAGGACATGAGATATACAGGCCAGGCAGAAACTCTGAAACACAGGAAAAGATGCACATTTTTCTCACTTCACATAATTGTTCTGTGGCACACATCACAGGACTCTGCAGAGGGCAAAAATAAATGCTGGTGCCAAAAGATATTAGATAAATTAATAGTAAAAAGGGTTCCATAAGGACCTGAGAAATGCAGAGCTGGGGAAGTAACCTTCAGCTCAGGATTCCCTCACAGCAAGTTGCTGGGAAGGTGGAGTCACAAAATGATCTCTCTACATCTCCAGAATCCTCTATTCTTCCCTAAAGCAAGCACCTGCTCCTGGCAGGCTTGGAGATGGGATCCCCAGGGAGATCACCCTTTGGTCTGACCCCTCTTGGCCATTTCAGGTTCTCATTGCAAAGCTGGCAGCACCAGCCTGGTGTCTCAGCTTTTCCATCCGAGTGGGGAGAGCTGTCCTTCCAAAGCACCCCCCATACCTTGGCTCCTGTGAATGTCCTCAGAGGGGCTTGTCCTCAGAGCAGGCACCTGCAGGAAGCAGTGGGGCAGTTCTTGCAGCTGCAGGGCACTGAGAGAAGAGATGCACGTGTGATGAGAGGAGGCTGCACCTTCCCCCTGCTCTGGTGGTGCCACCACAGGAAGAAGAGTTCAGATGTAGCCCCCCATGAACATCACTTTGACCACAACCTCCCCTCCCACCACAGCACAGAGAGGTCTCACCCGCTCCAGGGCACCCACCAGGCCTGCTGCACAGGAATTGATCCCCAAGAGGACCATGTTCTGACATGGGGCTGAAGATTGGCTTGCTCAGCATCAGGGAGGGTGAAGTTCAAAGTTTGTAAATTTTATTTCTCTGGGAAAAAAAAGAAAAACCACAACAATAAAACACGATGCACGACCAACTGCCATGGCACCTCAGTGATAAGCAGGAAGCCAACCAGGATAAATCAAGATTAGATACACCATGTTTGCCTGTATTCCCTTCAGCCCCATATCTCCTCCTAGCTGCCTGGCTAATCCTCTGTAGATCAAGTAACATGGATGAGTTGGGCTGACGTGGAATGACTGATGGGGATGGTGGTTTTGGCTGTGCTGTTCCATGCTCCCTCTCAAGTCATTAATTATGCCATCTGACATGAGCAGTGCTCTCAAGTTGATATTTGTGAGGTAAGTGATGAATTTCCTCTCCTCCTGGTAGCTCATTAGGACATGTTTTATTACGAGGAAATTTGCTGAGGAATTAATTATTCAGACAAAAACATTTTTGAGAGCAGTTTTATTTGTTTTTATATTTACTCTACCTTGGATATATAATTTCTGTGGTCCAAGAAAAATAGCAGCAGCATGTCTAGAAGGTGGCTACCACCTTGCTACCAGTAATGCTCTGCTTATTTCTGGAGAGAAGCACGGAGCCACAGCAGTGCCTCTGCAGAAGGATGCCCAGGGAGCAATATGTCTATTCTGGGCAGTCCAAATGGCTGCTTTTGAACCATCCTTCAGTCACTCAAAGGCAACTTCTGCCTGATTTACTTTAGCTCAAATGTCTGCCTCAGCCCATTTTACCAAATGGTTTAGCAAATGCAGTTTGCCCCAGGCTTTGGAGTCTGTTTTATTCAGATTCTGTTCTATTTTATTCAGACTCGCATTATTATTATTATTATTATTATTATTATTATTATTATTATTATTATTATTATTATTATTATTATTATTATTATTATTATTATTATTATTATTATTATTATTATTATTATTATTATTATTATTACAAAAGTCTTGACCTATGATATTTGTCCCCTGAAACTAATGGAAAGGACCCAGGCCTGTCACTTATCATCTTATGATTGTTGATGTAAACAACACTTTCAGGGAGAGGTTTCTCATGGTAATCACTGTATTTAAGAAAGTCTCTGCCACTAGTTCAGAAGGATTATAGACAAAGTACCAAACTGTCAGCCACCTGTCACATCTGCATTTCTTCACAGCTACCAATGTGTCATGAATCTCCCAGGGCATCTCATTTGGGAACATGCTGACATTTTGCCTTTTATTTTCTTATAAGCATGTCCCTTCTGCCAGGAAGGCTGCCTGGTCTGTGGGGAGGCTATGAGCAGAGAGGGTGCCATGCTGACAGATGTTAATGGAGCAGTTATCAGGAAACAACTGAGTATCATGGATGTGTCCAGATAGAATAACCTCTCTATTCTGATAGCCACGGAAAAACAAACATATTCACATTCTGAACTGAACAAGCACAGGCTGTGGTTAAGACATACATTTTAAAAACTAAATAAAATAATAGTAATAATAATAAAAAAGGGTGCTTGAGATTTTCAGAGCATTACTAACACAAATCTCTGGGTGACTTGTGCATGTCAGACTCCACAGCACCCCACAGCCTGTGAGAGCTGTGACAGGAACGTGGCCCCAAAAGGGCACACGAGATGGCCAACTGCCTCTGCTGTCCTGTCTTGAGGATGATAGAGGTAATGACAAGGGTAGGACAAATGCTTGTAAGGTTCTGATCCCAGGTTCTGCACAGGTGAAGAGTGCATAAGGAAAACAGGCTTCAGGAATGTGAATGTGAATTTTCTTCTGGCACCAAGGAGATGTTGGAAAAGCAAGGGAGAGTTGGAGAC